TCGGGTTCGATTCCCGGTGTGTGCACTTCGGGCATCCCAGTGCGGGGGGGTGTCAGAGGTCCACTGGGGATCCCCGATGATCCTAGGGAAGGGTTACAGGCACGTCGGCCTGGGGGGTTATGGGCGCACTCACCCGCTATATAAACAAGCCCTTTTATCCCAGTGGGATTCTGACAAGGACAACTTGGTATGAAAGGACGCGATTAGGAAGTACAATAACATGACTTTTTTAGATAATGAGGGTTGTTAAAATATCGCTTATGGTAGTTACCTTAGTAAGTCACAATAAGAATTATGTGGGAGTGGGGTTAATGGCGAGGAGGCAACCCCTTCAGTATACTTTGGCTAGCCATATACTGTTGACCAGGGCTAATTTGTGAATTTGACCAACCCTTGTGATCAGTGTAGCACAAGCTAAAGAACCCGTTTGTCAATGTGACCCATTTTGAAAAAACTTATTCATCAGGGTTTTCCGTGGTTTTGTAAAATTTACCCTGATGCATCAGTGTTCTGAAATGTCAAACCCTGGCCATTGGTGGCCCATGTCAGAATGTGATGGTTGTCTAGCCTGCAGTGGGGTACTCTATAGCGAGTACAGCCCTTCTAGGGTTTGCATATATGTATCCCTATGCTTGTTAGTCAAAACCCTTCTTGCCTGTTTCTCGTTTTGGCCTAGCATTTTGGATGGTATCAGAGCGGGTCGACCCTCCTGGGTCGATCCTGTGGGTGGTCCCACCAGAAGCTTCCGCTGTTGTTTCCTGCTGTTTCCTGCCTGCCGCGCGCTCCGGGCGCGCAGCGATTTTTTCTTCCCGCCGCGCGCCCGGGGCGCGCGGCGGTTTTCTGCCCCGTCACTCGGCGCGTCGCCCCCGGGAGGCGCTGCGACGGGCGACGGGGACCCGCGCGTCGCCCCCCGTCGCCCGTCGTGGCCTGCGCGCGGCCCGTACAGCCGGCGCGCGGCCCGTACGGGCTGCGCCAGGCCCGCGCGCGGCCCGTACGGGAAGCGCCAGGCCCGCGCGCGGCTCGGGCCGCCTGCGCGCGGTTCGGGCGGCTATGCCAGGCCCGTGGGCGGCCCGTTCCTCGCTGCCCCTGCCCTCCCCACTGTCCCCCGTGCTTCTACTGGCGCCCCACCCCTCCTACAGCCCGTTCTCCTGAATTAGGGTTTGGGGGTGAGGGGTATGGGGGTGAAGCCACTGAGTGCCGTTCCCCTCCTCCTCCTCCTTCTCCGTCTCCCACTGCTGCAGCTGCCGCTGAGGGGGGTGGGTGTGTGGGAGCCGAGGGAGTGGCGCTAGGGGGTGTAGTGTGAGCGGTGCTAGGGGAACAGCAGGGGGTGTGTAAAAAGGGGGTGGGACAGCTGGGGGAAGTTGAGAGGAGGCCGTCGACTTGTCGTCCGCAGCGCCTGAAGTCCAGGGAGCCACGACCCCCTGTGGCCTGAGTAGTCCGGGGCTCTGCGCCCGGTAGCTACAGTGTGTGCACTCCTGGGAGCACAGCGAGCCAGCTGCGACCCCCTGTCGCCGTGTAGTCCGGGTTTAGCCTGGTAGCGTCAGTGCGGCGTACTCCTGCTGCCTGTGTGTCTGCAGCTTCAGCCGTCGCCTCTCATCTTCTTGCTCCCACAGTTTCTCCTCCTCCTCACTTGCCCTCTGTGATAGCCTCTAGCTTTGCTTATAATTGTGAACTATTGCTCTGTCTGCTTGTTATGTTGATTGTACCCCACTTTGACTATGGGGGTGTGTCAGAATGTGATGGTTGTCTAGCCTGCAGTGGGGTACTCTATAGCGAGTACAGCCCTTCTAGGGTTTGCATATATGTATCCCTATGCTTGTTAGTCAAAACCCTTCTTGCCTGTTTCTCGTTTTGGCCTAGCATTTTGACAGCCCACTGTGTGCCAGCACATGCGTTATCAAGGACGAAATTCCGGGTTCGACAGTTCGCAATCGGGAATCTCGGGTGACGGGAAAGGGGGAGTGGGGGAATGGGGAGGGGGGAGGAGGGGGGGGAGGAGGGGCTGTAGGGTACTCGTTTCAGGGTAAAACTCGTTATGGAAATCGGGAACCCTTAGTCATCAGTGTGCCTTAAAGCGACGGTGCACTTTTGCCACCCAAAACCCAGAACCCTGGCGAATTGTTACGGCAGATGAAAAGTGTCCGCACGAAATCCTGGTTTTCGCCAGCCAACACTTTCGCGCTGGCAAGCCTGGTTCAAAAAAAAAAAACTTCTGAACCCAACACTGCCAAAAGTTGCCCGTCGCTTTAAATGTAAACCCTGACATATCAGGCAAATTCTAACTCTTGAAAAAATTACCGTGGGCCATCAGTGTTACTACAAAAAACCACCCTGATTATTAGGGTATCAGGGTGATTTACACTGATAAAATTTGCCCTGCTGTTGACAAGCGAAGTGAGTTTGGTGAGAAGGGTGGGGAAGGAATTGCCGCCCGTGACAGCACTAGCAGAAGTTGAGTGGCCCTGTAATTTGGTTACCATGTCCCATGTATATTATTTTTCTCCTGGCACTGCCAAATGTATACTGCTGCTGTTAAGGACTTCTCTCAGTCCAACAAAGTTGAAGATGATGAAGGGTTATATATTACACTACAAGTAGCTTTATGTTTCTCCAACACCACAACAAGCTCCTATCGCGGTTTTGCTTCCACAACAGCCCAAAATCCTGATTCCTCCACACACATACACCCTTTAGTGGCTAGTCCAGTCGAGCAACCAGGAACCATCACCCACGTGACAGGTATGACTAGCCCCATAAAGAGTCTCCCCATCCAAATTCGATCACTCCCTCCGGCGGGTGGTCAGTGATAGGGATTGACATTCGATAGACAGACATCACAATGGACAGCCATCACGATGGATATCACAATGGACATCAAGAGACACAATAGACAGACATCAGGAGCGCTATCCTGAGGGACGTGCCCTAAGCATCGACAGACCGACAGGCTGCCAGACGAGACACAACAACGCCATGTCCTTCCTCTCCCATTGGAATGCCCGGCTCCGTAGCAGTTCTAGCACGTAGAACCCGCTTCGCTCCCACCCAAGGCCATTCGCGCGCGCGCTAACTGCGAGCCCCCGAGGACTCTGCTTTTTTTTTTTTTTTTTTTTTAAACGACGACAAGTGCTCCCACCCCTGGTCGCTCATGTTCGCGTCGTGGGCGTGTCCTCTGCGAGCCCACATCACCTTCATCACGCGCCACGTCACCATCGACTCTCGCCTCGTCACCGTCCACACGCGCCAGCTCACTGCCAGCACGAGCAGCAACCAACCCGCGCTAGCCGCATGCGCCCGCGTGCTTGAATTGCAGTCACCGCACCGCCGCCATCAGCACCTACCACCCGTCCGCAGACAACCTATCTGCTCTCCGGGACAAATTCAAACCTCTTTTTTCTCCTTTTCCTCCTCGATTTCCTCCTCCTTTTCCACCCTTCGCGTGGTTTCCACACTAACCCGAACCCTGAACCAGCCTCCCCCCGTCAACGCCTCACTTCGGCTAAGAAGCTCCCCCACTTGCATTCCCCCAGTCCCCCTTACCACTTCCGCTTCCGCTTCCGCGTCCCCTTTCGCCTACTCCCTCCCCGTCTCCGCGCCCCCGCTTCGCCCTCACGCTGCTCCCCACCCCCGCCACGCGAATCGACAAGCGTTGCCCAGCGAACGTCCAGTCAGCAGCCGCCACGTCAGGAGCGCCATGGACGGACCTGGTCTTGCCTGTGAGGCGGGTGGGATGCGCGCGGGGAGAGGCGGAGAAAGCGGAAAAATGGGGGGAATCGGGGTAGCGCAGCGAGCGGGGAAGGAAGGGAGGGCTGCGGGGATGGCGGTGGTTGGGAGGCTGGTAAACGAATAGCCGATTTGCAAGGTGTGGCGGGGGATAGTGCGGTGGTAAGGGAAGCAGTGACCCGTCTGGTGCGGTACATACCGCCCTTGTTCTCGCCCTCGTCTCCCTTTGCTCCCTCTCGCTCTGCCAACGCCGCCTCTTCTCTCACCTACTCTCTTACCGCCCCTCCCTCCTTCCCTCCCTCCGCCTCATCCCTTCTCTCCTCCTCCTCTTCTTCTCTCAGCCACACACGCGCTCTTACCTCTGCGTCCGCCTCTTCAGAATCGCCCAAGAAAGGCGCTGCTGGTACACTTGACAGCTGCAATAACCATACCACCACCACCATCGCCAAGAACAAAGACAATAGCAACAACAGCAACAGCAGCGGCAGCAGCATAAGCAGAAGCGACAGCAGCAGCATTTCAGGCAATCTAGCCCCCCCAGCTGACCCAGCTACGCTACCCACACCCCCACCCTCCACCGGTCCCACCCCTCCCACACCACCCTCCTCCTCATCCCCTCCCTCCACACCCCCTCCTCGCCGTCTCTCCCCGGAAGCCCTCGCGCTGAAGCAGCAGCAGGCAGCAGAGGCGCGCAGAGCCATACTCCAAGCAGAAGCAGACGCGGAAGCAGCAGCCGCAGCAGCAGGAGCATCTGGCAGCGCAGCAGCCGCACTGGTGGACGACACAGCCATGTCATCAGTGGCCGTGCCGGCGTTTCAGACAGACCCGCTGTCGCCGAATAAGCAGTCGGTGCTGGGGGTGGCGCTGGCTGCGGGGGGGGAGGCGATGGGGCCCATGAGGAGGAGGAAGGCCGCGGTGCTGGTGGCGCTGTTTGAGGGCGAAGGGGGCGAGCTGCGCGTGTGGCTCACCAAGAGGGCTGCCAAGCTGTCATCTCACTCTGGTGGGTGCGCTGCTTTGTTGTGCGGTGCTGTGGTGTGCTGTGCTGTGATGCTTTGTTTTGCATGGGTGCTCGGTGAAGGGCAAGAAGACCATACAGGGTGGAGTGGAATATCGAAGGAGAGGTGTCGCGTGTGTTTCCTCATGCCGCCCCTCCCCTGCTGTCATTTTGCTGCACATTCTCCTCCGTCTACTCTCCCTGTATCTTACCTGCTTGCTCATGCACCCCACGTGCTGGCACATGTCCCGCACGTCCCCACTCGCATGGAGCACGGGAGCAGGCGAGGTGGCGTTGCCGGGCGGCAAGCGGGACGAGGGCGATGCGGACGACAGTGACACGGCGCTGAGGGAGGCGGAGGAGGAGATCGGGTTGCACCGCTCCCACGTGCGCGTCGTCACACACCTCGAGCCCTTCCTCTCCAAGGTGGGTGGGTGGGCGCGTGTGACGGAGAGGGTTAAGCGGTCAGGGAAAGTCTTGATTGGGCGCGTGTGCAGATTTGGATCGGGCTGCACCGCTCCCACGTTCGTGTCGTCACACATCTCGAGCCCTTTCTCTCCAAGGTGGGTGGGTGGGTGGGTGGGTGGGTGGGAATATGGGGGTTGGGGATCTTGTGGGTGGGATGTTGTGAGGGGAAGGGGGTTGGGGTCGGTCTTGGTTCGAGCGGCTTCAGATCGGGCTGCACCGCTCCCACGTGCGAGTCGTCACAAATCTCGAGCAGTTCCTCTCCAAAGTGCGTTTCACAACGGGTTGCCCTTCTCTTGCCCTCTTCTCTTGCCCCCTCCCCTTGGCCCCCCCTCTTTCCCCCTCCTCTTGTGCTTCATCCTTCAACTGCCGACTCCTTACATCTCACCCCCGCACCAGCATCGTACGGTGACGCCAGTGGTGGCGCTGCTGTCATGCTGCCCACCTCTCCTGCTGCAAGCAATTCTCTTCATATATGTCTAGGGCTCCCTCCCCGTCCCTTATTCCCAACCCCCACTGCTCGCGGCGGGCCTCCCACCAGCATCTGTTGACGGTGACGCCGGTGGTGGCGCTGCTGCCACAATCCTTCACATTTGCAATTTTCCCCCACCCTCCCCTCCCACACCCCTCTTCCCCCCAACCTCAACTCTCACCCCCACTGTTCACTGCTCTTGGCTCACCTCCCACCAGCACCTGTTGACGGTGACGCCAGTGGTGGCGCTGCTGCCGCGCGGATTCACCTTTGTGCCGCGCCCCAACGCCGACGAGGTGCAGGCCGTCTTCAGCGTGCCGCTCTCACTCTTCCTGCAGGTGCGCTGGCCAGGGGGAGGGGAAGGAGGGGGGGGGGGGGAGGATAGGAGGGGATGGGAGGGAGGGAATGAATGGGAAACTCTGAGGCACCGCGATAGCTGACGAGGTGCAGGCCGTCTTCAGCGTGCCGCTCTCGCTCTTCCTGCAGGTGCGCTGGGGGAGAGAAGGGGGGGGGGGGTGTGGGGGTTGAGAGGAGGGGAAGAAAGGAAGAAGGGATCGGAAAGAGGGAAGGAAGGGGGAATATTGAGGCGCCTCGAAAGCTGACGAGGTGCAGGCGTGCCGCTCTCGTCCTTCCTGCAGGTGCGCTGGCGAGGGGGTAGGAGAGGGAGGGAAGGAGGTGAGGAAAATCGGGTTTGGAGTGGGGCTGGGTTAAAGTGGAAGGGTTGGGACGCTTGCTTTTGCTTGAGGGTCCAGTGTGCTGTGCTGCTTGCTCTTCCTGCTGGTGGACTGGAGGGGAGGGGAGAGGAGAGGAGGGGAGCGGGGGGGAGGGGAGGGGAGGGGAGGGTTGAGTGGGGCATATTAAGGGAGAAGGTATGAAAAAGGCCAAGAGGGGCTGGGAAGTTGAGTGAGGGATGTTTGCAGTGATCGAGGGAGGGATGTTTGGCTTTTGCTGTATTATGGATTGAGGGGGGACCCTTCTCATCACAGACTTAGCTACTTCTCTTTTCTTCTATCCCCCACTTTTCTTACCGGAAGTTATCGTCACTTCCCCTCCACCCTGTCCCTCGACTCCTCTTCGCCTTCGCCCTCAACCGTCCCACTCTCCGAGTTCCTCTTTCTCATTCCCCTTTTTGCTCGCAGCCTGAGAATCACCGGCACGAGGACCACGAGTGGCTAGGTCTACCTTACCGCGTGCACTTCTTTGAGTACACCGCTCCACCGCCACCCCGTCCCCGCCCCATCCTCTCCTCCGCGCCGCAAGCACCCCTCGCTTCATCCTCTATCTCCACCTCGCACCCCCTCGTCAGTCCTCCTCCTCCTCCTCCTCCACAGCCTTCCTTGGCGGCTTCCCCTGCTGTGCTCACAGGGCAAGTTTCAAGCGCAGGGCGGAGGGAGTTGCAAGAGGGTGAGGAGGAGCAAGTGGGGGTAGTGAAGGGAGAGCATTTTACGATATGGGGGCTTACGGCTGCGATTCTCGTCCGGGTGTCGTGCGTTGTGTTTGGCCGGTCGGCGCCGTTTGGAGAGTTTCATCCGGATGCGCCGAATTACGCCACTGTGCTGGCTGATCTGGCCAAAAGGCAGTTCCTCCAGCTGTAGTAGCCGGGCCAGGCAGTTCAAGAAGCATTGTATGATACAGTCGATGCTCACCCTATCACAAAAAAAATGCTTATCACAATTATAAATTTACTCACTCGTGCCCGTGGGGTGACTGAATTGAGCATTGTGAAATTTTAGTTGTACAGTCACATATGTGCACAAACAACAAAGGATACACGTCAGCAGAGTGGTGACCTGGTTACAAAATTAAAGCCCCACATTCCAATTTCATTGCACTTTCATTTTTGAGTCACAATTTTGCCTGGGGCGACGAGGGCGAAAGCACGGGCGATTGAGCGAAATGCCAAAATTCGTTTCACTCACATGCCGAATGGTGTTCTTGTAATGGGCACCGACTGTAATACGGCTTTAGTTGCACAATTTATATGATTGACAGGGCACCATAGCGGCTGGCAGTCAAATGGTTCGATGCCGCCAGTCTACGCGTTACGTGTTCCAGCGAATTTCGTTACTCAAGGAGCCCAGTTCGCACAACCCTTGAAAGCACGCCAAAGTGCGAACCACAAAACACGGCATGCAAACGCCATGCCATCCACAACCCCCAAGCGCGACCTCCTGTGCTGTCCCCATCGCACAATTCGCACCCCATGTAACTACCTTCTCCACTCTAACAAACCGCACCCCACCCCCTATTTCTCTGCTGCTTGCCACTTCACGTCACGCTTTCCCCTTCCACGCTCTCTTGGGCTTGCCGCCTCGCATGATTCACCATTGAACCTTCATCATCAGAGAACTTAGTTGAGCCACGGTGAATCGGACAATGGCCTCCTCGACTGGGGTTTCCTCCTCGCCTGTCTCGTTGCCTTTCCTGCTGTTGACTGCTGCTCGACTTTACTGACTTTAACCAGTTCGCGCGGCGCAATCAGTTCAGGCGATATTTCCTGGGGCTGGTGTACTGGCCGTAGTTGATTCTCCTGCACGGATGTAACGAGTTATAACAGTTACGTCGTCTTCGTCGCCGTTTTCCTCGCTGGACGCCTCCCTTTCGTCGCTCGGAACCATTACATCGCCCCTTGTCCTGAGGACTGCATTGCGCTGCGTCTGCGCGTTCCTGGGGTCTGCGTCGCGTGGTGACGAGACGAATCACTCGGAATCAAGCACCTGGGATCAAGCACCTGGAATCAAGCACCTGGAATCAAGCACTTCAAGCATTTGAATTCGGTCACCCCGCGTGCCATGAGCTGGTTCGTCCTAGAGGAGATTAACTCTCTCCCCGGGTCGCACGGCGGCGGCGACGACGGCCGGTCCGTTCCGTCCCGCGATGCGGCCGCTGGCCATGGCGAGTCGCGGCGCTGGAGAGCCGCGTCGCGCTCGGACTGGAGGTCAGAGTGGCGATCGGAGAGGAGAACGGAGTTTAAGGAGCAAGGTGAGACGGACACGCACCGCTGGAGGTCGGAGGCTAGAGGTCGAGGGAGGGAAGAGCGGGAAGAGCGCGAAGAGCGGGAAGAGAGGGAAGAGAGGGAGCGGGTGGAAGGCCAGCGGAGGCGGATGGGGTCGAGAGGGCTTTACGGGATGCACGGCGGATTGCACGGCGGATTGAACGGGGGATCGCACGCGCAGCACGATGATGTCGAGCTATCCGACAGCCAGGGGCAGGTGGACAGCGATGGTGACGTGGCGGACGATTTTATCGAGGTGGAGCAGTGCCCGTATCCCCGCGATTCCCGGGATCACTTTCGCGAGAGGAGGGTTCGCGGCAGTTGCAGCGGCGGAGCAGGCATGCGAAGCAGCAGGAGAGCGAGGAGGGCGGGTGACGTGATCGACCTCACATCGGATAGCGATGGCAGTAACGGCAGCGACGGCAACGATGGCGCTGCTGGCGCTGCTGATGCCGCTAATAACCGCGCGTGTGGTGCCACTACCACCGCCACCACCACCGCCACTGCTGCTGCTGCTGCTGCCGCTGCTGCTGGTGGGTGGGGCAGCGAATGGGGCACGGCTCCTCCCGAGTGGGCGAGCGAGGACGTGAGCGAAGACGTGAGCGTGGATGTGGAGTGTGCGGTCTGCCACGCGCTCGTTCCAATCGACCGCTCTCTGGATCTCCCCCGCTGCTCCTGTCTGCTCTGCCTCTCCTGCGCGCGCGCGTCCTTCCGCCCGCAGCTGCTCGAGCTGAAAGCGCAGCTGGCGGGGGAGCGGCACACGGCGAGGCACGTAGCAGACAAGGGAGATAAGGCAGATACAGCGGGCAAGGCAGACACGGCAGAAAAGGCAGGCAAGGCGGGCAAGGCAAGCATGGAGAAGGTATCAGCTGGGGGAGGGTTATTTGAGAGGCTAGAATCGCCGGCGGTATCTTCTGATAGTAGAGATTCCATGGGCTGCCCGTGCTGCGGCCAGCCAGTCCCAGCCCTCCACGTGCAATCCCTCCTGCCCGAGGAATTCCGGCAGTGGGAGGAGGCGGCGACGTCCGCGGCCCTCGCGGCGTTTTCCCGGGCAGATGAATTTGTCCGCTGCCCGGGATGCAACGTGCTGGTGGAAAAGCTGCCCGCAGAGCCACCGCCCGGCGCGATCCTCTCCGGAGTTCCCGAGATCGACCGGACGGCGCCGATGGCGGAGCGAGACGAGGAAGGGCGCGTGCTGTCGCGGGAAGCGATTGTGCACAAGGCGGGGAACAGGTTCCGGTGCGGGGAGTGCTCGGTGGTGTTCTGTGGGTCGTGCCGCGCGCACCCGTATCATCTGGGGCTGTCCTGTGCTGCTTATGCTGCGCGGCTTGCTGCTCCCAAGTGCTTGTTCTGTGGGGAGAGAGTTGAAGGGGGGATGGGAGATGGGAGAGAGGGAGGCGGGGCGGGGTGGGGCGGTGGTGGTGGTGGTGGGGAAGGAGGAGGAGGAGGTGTAGCGGAGCGAGAGCAGAGATTAGAAGCAGCAGGCGGAGACGGTGGGGGGAGTTCTGGGTTGGAGCGCAAGAGGCAGCGGGAGCTTGAAGCGGCGAGGCAACTAGTCAACCTCATATCGCCGCCTGATTGCTCTCCTGCTGACATCGGCCACAGTAGCAGCAGCAGCTACAACAACAGCGGCACCAGCAACTGCAGCAGCAGCAATGGAGGCAGCAGCAGCGGGAGTAGGAACCGGTGGTCGTGGGGTGTAAAGGAGATGAGAGCACTGCTTGTTGCAGTGGGTGCAGACACAGGGTGGTGTGTAGAGAAAAGTGACTTAGCAGCAGTGGCAGCGCTGGCAGCGCGTGTGTGCGGTGAGGAGCAGTGCAGGGAGAAGCTGAAGGCGGCCTGCACGCGCACCAGCCCCTGTGGCCATCCGTGTGGGGGCGTGCGTGGGGAGGTTCAGTGCCTGCCCTGCCTGCAGGAACCGTGTCTTGGGAAACATCGCGCACCCGCCGCTGCTGCCACTGCTTCTGGTGGTCATGGTGCCGGTAGCAGCAGCCAAGCAGCCGGCAAAGGCAAATCCATCCTTCACTCCTCCACTGCTGCTCCACCCCACACGAGCCCGCCTCTCCCGTCTGCCAGTGATTTCTGCCCCATCTGCTGGGTAGAACCTATCTCTGCCGCGCCTGCCATCCGCCTGGCTTCGTGCGGCCACGTGGTGCACGTGGCGTGCGCAAGGGAGAAGATCCGCCGCTCGTTCCCCGGCCCAGACATCTCGTTTGGGTTCCTGGCTTGTCCGCTGTGCCCTGCCACTACCATGGCACACCCTGCTCTGCAGGCAGAGCTGACGGCGCCTCTGGTGCTCAAGCAGCAGGTGGAGGAGCTGGCAGTTGAGAGGATGAGGGCGGAAGGGTTGTTTGGGGATGGGGGTGGGGCCAGGGCCAATGGGGTTCGTGTGGATGGTTGGGATGGTGGGGAGGGTGACAGGGAGAGGCGTGGAGTGCGCAAGAGGCACGGTGGTGGTGTGGATGGGCATTTGGAGGGGTATGGTGATGCTGGCGGGAGGGGTTCACAGAGTGGGAAAGGGCGTGAGAATGGGAGGGAGAGCAGTGGGAGTGGCGGCAGCAGTGCGGGTGGTGATGTGTTGGCTGTGGCCTTGCGGCGGTTCTTGTTCTTCCTCTGCTCCCACTGCCAGCTTCCGTACTTTGGTGGTGACAGGAGGTGCGGCGCCGGACCTGCTGCCGCCGAGCCTGATGATCAGGCCGGGTACGGAGGGCCAGGATTGGGTCAAGCGGGAGGAGCGAGGGATGGTGGAGGGGAGGAAAGGGCAGGAGCGAGAGGAGGTGTGGTTAAGCCAAAGAGCAATGAGCTGGTGTGTGGTGATTGCCTGGCGTCTGAAGCTTTGTCAAAGCAAAGGGCAGCTGCGGCGTCTGCTGCTGCGGCTGCAGAGAAGCAGCGTGGCAAAGAGAGGGGCATGGAGAAGGGCAAAGGGAAAGCCGTTGGGATTGGTGGGGATGGTGGGAAGGATCAGCTGTGGGAAGCAGGTGCATGCACTGGTAACCATGGCCGGGGCTTTATCCAGTTCAAGTGCCGCTTCTGCTGCTCCACTGCCTCGTACTTCTGTTTTGGCACGACTCATTTCTGTGCCGAGTGCCATGAGACTCGTCCCGACTCTTCGCGTTCGACCTACATCGTACCGCAATGTACTGGTGGGGATAAGTGCCCGTTGCGCCTGGTGTGGCACCCTCGCGCTCCTGACGAGTTTTGTCTCGGTTGTGCATTGTGTCGGTTACAAGGGCAAACGATGGCACATGGACAGAGAGGAGGACAGGGTTAGTGTCTTTAGATCGTGAACCAGTTTGTAAGTTGCCAAAGGAGAACACACAAGAAACTTCAATCATACCCTTCTTGGATAAGCTGTTCTGGTCTGCATATGGATGACAGATTGACAAATTTGTCCAACGCTTTCTGTAGTTGATCTTTCAGCACTTTTTTGCAAAATATGTCATGGTGTCAAATTTGGGGTAAATGCTGTTATCGAGGTCGGCAGGTGCACATTCAAACAAGCACATTCGTCACACTCACCTGTCAACTACGCCTGACAAAACGGTCCCACAATCAAACATTTCGCTCGACAAAGGCGCGAGCGGTTCGGCGCCCTAGTGAAGCCCAACTTCACTGGACCCGCGACTCGGCTAAATCCAAAAGTCGAGTCGGTTAAATTGAACTTATCGAACTGGTCTGTGTTCGCGTCGTGTTTGTGTGACAACTCCCCCCAACCAAAGCTAACAAGGCATTTAGTCGAGAGACTATGAAGGGGGAGACAGAACGATGGATTGATGGTTGTGATAACGAGCGACTAAGAAATAAATGGTCCTGTGAGCTGTCCCGATTCTTTCCCCTTTCCCTTGTTCAAGGGCTTAGATCGAATCGCAAATGGTGTCGTATATCCCACCAGCCACAACGTGGGAGACAGCCAGTCTAGTTGTTCCACCCTGACTTGTGACTGACAGACCGGTCTCAATCAGCTCCCACCACAATCGCCGTTAGTCACGTTACGGAAAGGTGAGCAGTCATCAATTTAAACGAGCAGGACCATTTATCCAACGATTGTTTGCTGCTCTCGCTGAACGAGAAAGACGGCCGTAAGTTAATGCAGCAGTGCATTGCAGGTAGAAATATGGTAAGAGAGACGGCCTGAGATACGGTAGTAAGATTGCAGATTGAATGCGCGTCTCGCTCTATCGACGACCTTCCGTGCGTCAACCCGTGATCCTTCCGTTGTCCTCGTATTCCCAGACAGCAGTCTACCGTATATTTCGGCACAAAAGCAAAATGCCCGAACCACAGCTCCAAACAAGGCCAGGCCCCGAACATCTACTCCCTAGTACCAGCTAGTACAAGCCAACTTTCTCAACGTGCGCCTTTCTCGTTCACTCCGCTGCCTGAAAGGGCCTCGTTCTTCCCGAAACACTTCGCCCAGCGACACCAATCCCAAAAGTTAGATATCAAATATTGTGGGCGGTACTCAAAGAACCAGGGATTTATCTGCCTCCATCGCCGCCACCGCCGCCACCGCCGCCGCCACCGTCCTGGTCGTTGGTCGTCCCCATCATCGTCCAGTGGCCTTCCAGTTTCATGAGTCGCGATGCCCACTTTCTCGCGCTTATCATCCCACCCCTCGCCGCGGCATGACACAACGGCTACGTCGCAGAATGGCTATCCGCCGCATAACCCGCCAACGGTCACTCTCATACTCCCCGACGGCTCCGCGCAGCATTTCCCCCGAAGCCTCACCGTGCGTGAGGCGCTTGTTCTGCTTGCGTCTCCTTGCCGCTTCAACCCCGCGGAAGCTCCGCCTTCGCCCCCGCCGCCTCCGGCGTTAGCGCAGAGGTCCGCGGCGGAAGCCCCGTTTGGTTCCTCAGCGGAGCACCCCCGCCGCGCGCCCCAGCAGAATCCGCTGTCGGCGACTTTCCCCCTTGCCATCTCTGCCCCGGCGCGCGGAATATTCGTCAAGGAGCGGCGGAAGCTGCTGCTGACTGAAGTGCTGAGACTCGGTCGAACCTACCACGTGTATAATCCGAATAATACTACAAGTACTGCTGAGTCTGTTACACCTACTCAGAGAATGGTCACGGGGAGAATTGGGGCCAGTAGCGGCGGCGACGCGGGTTCGAGGAAGGCGAAACGAGGCGGCGGCAAGCCGGCGAAGGGCCGTTACGAGCGGCGGCAGGCGCGGAGGCAGGGCGACGAGAGGAGATATTCCAGCAACAAGGTGCGGAGATGGGTTTGCCGCGTTTCCGCAGATTGGATTTTGTCCCGTGATGTCGGCGAAGGAAGTCGTATTGCCCCGCCTTCCCCCGTCCCCCGCCCCCCGCCCCCTCGACCCTGTCTATTGCCCTTTGCGAGTCGCGTCATATCTCCTCCATCACGCGCGCCTTTCCTCTTTCCCCATTTCACCTCGTTCTTCCTGCTGCACCCCCTCTCTTCATTCCCTCCCCTCGAGTAGCTGACATCCGCTCCCCCTCACCATCGTTCCCTTACCCTTCTCGCCCGCTTCTCGCCCCTCCCCTTCCCATCCCCGCCCCCCCGTCCCTTCTCCCCTCCCCCGTGCCCCATCTCGTCCTCCGCCCCGCGTTCCGTCCCCCGTCCCCCGCCCCTCCCCGGTTCTCAGGTCTGGCCCCTCGCGCCTCTCCAGTCGGCCGCTAACTCTCCTCCGCGAATTCCGCGCGTCGTCGTTCCGCCCGCTGCGCCGGCGCGCATCTCCGGCCCTTGCGGCGGAAGTGACGCCGGAACTGACGCCGGAAGTGACGACGGCAGAAACATGGAGGATGGCCATGGGAATGACGAGGCCGTTTTGTCGCCTTCTGAGTCGTGCCTGTGCGTGGGCTGGCTTGGAGGCTCGAAACAAGAGAGGTATGAGGGACTTGGGTGGGACGAGAGAGAGGAGAGAGAGGACAGAGAGGGGTCAAAGGACGAAGGAGGGAAGGCGGAGAGGGCCCAGGAGGGAGAGGATGAAGAGGAAGTGGAGGGGAAAGGGGAAGAGGAGGAGGACGAGGAAGGGGTGGGGGAGGGGAGAACTGGGGAGGGTGGAATGGGTGCGGAAGAGAAACTGCGGGAGGGCTGCTTCTGGTTGAAGCCAACGAGGGAGACTACTGCTAACGGCACCAGCAGCAATGATAACGAGAGCGGTACTAGTAACAGTGATATCATCGAGAGCGGCGCTACCGCCGGTGGCAACGAGCGCGCCCGTAGCAACGAGCGCAGGCTCATCTCCCCGCCCTATCCCCTTGCCAACAAACTCTCGCTGCCACTGGCGCGCTCCCCGCTCCGCGCTGCTCCTACTGCGCCTACCCGAGCCCATATGTTCTCCGCGCGCGCCGCTCCTTCCGCCGGCTCCGCGTCTCCTCCCCCTCGCGGGGTGACATCTCCTCTCCCTACGGCACCGTTCGGAGCCCCCGCTTTGCGCGCGTGTGCGGGTGCGGGTGCGCTTTCGGGAGGCGTGGCGGGAGGCACGCTAGAGAATTGCGAGCCGCCTGAGCCATCGGCGCGCAGCAGCGGCGGGGGTGCGGGTGGGCGTGGCGATGCAGATGCTGATGGCGATGACAGGTGCAGGGAGGACCGGGAGAAGATAGGCGACGGAGGAGGAGGAGGAGGAGGAGGATCAGCTCTGTGGCACGTAATGAGGAGGTGCGGGATCGGTGGTGCCAAGGGAGCGAACAGTCACAAGGCCAGCAGCAGCAGCAGCGGTGGCAGCAGCAGCAGCAGCAGCAGTGGTGGTGGCGGCGGAGGCAGCAGGAGATGGGGTGGAAGGACTGCGATGAGAAGTGCCAAGGTGGTTCCTTGGAACAGCGGCAGCAGCAGCCGCAGCAGCAGCGTGAGGAGCGGTGATTGTGACGGCACAGCAGCAAGGAGCAGTACTAGTGCGGGTGGCAACAGGGAGATTAGGGTAGGCACCGGGTCGACAGGTGCTGCTCCTGCTGCTGCTGCTGCTGCTGCTCCATGCGGTGTGAAGGGAGGACGAGGAGAAGGGAGGGAGATGTCAGAAGTGAGTGGTCTGTGGTTGCTGGATAAAAACCTGGCTGCTGCAGCAGAGGACAGCGCGTCTGGTCGAGCTGCTGCTGGTGCTGGTGGTGATGATGATGATTCGGATGCGGACAGCGATGCGAGGGAAATGGCGTTTCTACACAAGCAGCTGCAGATGTATCGTCTCTCCTGCCCCATCGCCCCTGCTTTGCCGCGCAGCAGCAGGCGGCGGCGCTGCAGTGGGGGTGGTATGGGCATCACATGGCGGCCGAAACTGCCGGGAATAGCTGAGGCCGCGGGGGAAGGCGGGGAGGGCAGTGACGACACTGGAGAAGGCAAGGAGGCAGGGGAGTGGGTGCAGTGTAAAGAGTAGTTGTCTATCCCTGAGTAGGCATCATCATTGCATGGGTGCTAAAGATCCTCTGAAGAGGTCTCTACTGATGCTGACAATCATCTGAAACCGCTGTACCATAGATTAGGGTGTTCTTTTGTCTCGTGATGATTAGCTTGAACATTCACCAGCGTTTTGTGACCAGACGCGTTAAACCAAGAAAACACCCAGTTATACATACTGACCAGTCACTTTAATTGGTGATGTTAAGTTTTTTAGGCTTACGGTATATTTTGTTACCGTTCGCGTATTCTCCCTGGTTTACACTTTTCCTTGTAGTGGTGTAGCTCCAAAAGGATGTGGAGCGTGGCTGATGCGCTGTCACGCATGTACAATTCAACGACGCAATTCACGCATGAGTGAGCGGCCTTTGACGCGGTTGAGAAAGGCTTCATGCGGTTGACAAACCCTAAACCTTGCCGTATGATGACAGCACACACTACATGCAAGACAAGACAGCATTATAAACAAAACTGAGCACATGCAGAACATGTGGTGAATCCGAACACGCAGAACTGCCGCAAAAGAAAACTGCACAGTAAATGAGTGTTCGTGCTGGTTCGCGACGGTTTCTATGCAGGATGACACTTCGTTCTCAGCAACTTTGGGGTCTCTGAAGGCGCTCATCGGAGTGGCGTTACAACGGGCGCAAGCTCGTGTCATCCTGCTTCGGGCGGCGTCTTCCATGGGGGGGTTGAATGTGGACTTGGTGGATCGGGAGAGGGACGATGTCGAGGTGGAGGGCGGGCCTCTTTGGGTGGAGGCCCCCTACATGGTGGATGTGCAGATGTGACTTGGGGGGGGAGGGGGGGGGGGGGGGGGGGGGGGGGCGAGGGGGAATGGGGTGCAAGATGGGACGTCTGGTAAGGGATCCTGGTTGGGTTTTTTTTCTTTATGGAGTATTTTTATGGGGCTTTTTATGGGTGTTGCGTTTGAGTTGTTTCTGGTGTCTTTCTTTCCCTTTTCCTTCTCCCTCTTTCCCTTTTCCTCTTTCTATCCATACGCGATATTGGTTGTACCTTCGATGATGTTCGATGCGTTGCATGTCAATAAAAAATCAATGGCTACGAAAAATAAAATAAAATGAAAACCTAGTCGGGCAATGTGCCTTGTGAACAGCCGTTTACGAAGCAGAATTCAACCCCAGAAATGACCCCTCCCCCCCCCCCCTCCCCCAGACCCGCATTTTCACATTTTTGCGATGATCCGTCTCATCCGTCTCATCCGTCTCATCCGTCTCATCCCGTCTCTTGTCTCTGTCTCTCTCGGAACGGAACACCACCCAGACACCTACTAATGGCTCCCTTTTTGCCTTGCAGTTGGGCGGCGCGCATCACATAGTTGGGCGGTACACTGTCGGCAGGCATTCTCACCCTGTAGCCGCACACCATCCCTTCCCACACACCACACCACGCCATTTCCAAGCACGTTGTCACCAACTGGTCTTACTATTGCCGCTGCGGCTCTGCAGTCACTGCTCTGCAGCAGCCCGCCACTGCGCTTCTTACTAACCACTGCCCAGCGCACCACAGAACGAATACGAAACATCAGCTCGCAGCGTCTCCTGCCTGCCCCACGCATCGTCTGCGCGGCAGCAGCATGGCTCTTTCTACCCATCCTCCCAGGCGGCTCTACCTATGTCCTCATTGTCCCCATGCCGCCATCTCCAATGGAGGATGGCTCTACCCGTCCTCCCAAGCAGCAGCAGCAGCAGCAGCAGCGCGCTACCCATCCTCTCAAATCACCGCGTTCTCCATGCCATAATCAAATGTCACGCGCGGCCGCCTCGCCCCCGGAGGCAGCCCCTTCTCGCTTTATCAGCAACAGCACTGGAAGCCAAAGCAGCAGCAATGCTCTCCCACGTGACCTGGGCCTCCATGTCATCGTCAATCGTCACGCGCGGCCGTTTGGCCCCCGGGGGCAGCCCCTTCTCGCTTAATCAGCATCAGCAGCCACTGCCGCCGCCGCCGCAGGAGCAGCAGCAAAACTCTACCCGTCCTCCCACGTGACCTGGGTTTCCATGTCATCATCAATGGTCACGCGCGGCCTCTTGGCCCCCGGGGGCAGCCCCTTCTCGCTTTATCAGCAGCAACAGCCACTACCACCGCCGCCGCCGCCGCAACAGCAACAGCAATGCTCTACCCGTCCTCCCAGGTGACCCGGGTCTCCGTGTCATCGTCAATCGTCACGCGCGGCCTCTTGGCCCCCGGGGGCAGCCTTCTCTCCCTTAATCAGCAGCATCAGCAGGAGCCACTACCGCCGCCACCGCCACCGTGCTACCCATCCTCCCACGTGACTTGGGTCTCCATGTCATCGTCGATGGTCACGCGCGGCCTCTTGGCCCCCGGGGGCAGCCCCTTGCCGAGCTCGTCGCACTCCACGTGCAGGCGCCGCACCTCGCGCTTGAGCAGCCCGATGTAGTTCACCGCCTCGTCCAGCATCGTCGCCGTGTCCATGCGCGGGTTCCAGATGGGGAGCGTTTCTTTCAGGTTGTCCAATCTCTCGCTGGAGGGAGGGGAGTGGGAGGGACAAGGAATTGGAGTTGATGAGATGTAGTTTACGGCTTCGTCCAGCATCGTCGACGTGTCCATGCGCGGGTTCCAGATGGGGAGCGTTTCTTTCAGGTTGTCCAATCTCTCGCTGGAGGGAGGGGAGTGGGAGGGACAAGGAATTGGAGTTGATGAGATGTAGTTTACGGCTTCGTCCAGCATCGTCGCCGTGTCCATGCGCGGGTTCCAGATGGGGAGCGTTTCTTTCAGGTTGTCCAATCTCTCGCTGGAGGGAGGGGAGTGGGAGGGACAAGGAATTGGAGTTGATGAGATGTAGTTTACGGCTTCGTCCAGCATCGTCGCCGTGTCCATGCGCGGGTTCCAGATGGGCAGGGTTTCCTTCAGGTTGTCTAGTCGCTCGCTGTTTAGGGCAGAGGGGACAAGGGACGCGACTGGGGATGGGAGCTGATGAGATGAGATGTAGTTCACTGCCTCGTCCAGCATCGTCGCCGTGTCCATGCGCGGGTTTCAGATAGGCAGAGTTTCTTTCAGGTTGTCTAGACGCTCGCTGGTTGGGGAAGGTTGGGAGCAACGAGAGGGTATGGAACGTGAGCGTGTGGGTGTGTGTAACGTAGTTGGGTGCGTGTGAACGCGCCACGTGCGCATGGGCGTGCGTGCGTGCATGCGTGCGTGCGCATGGGCGGGCGGGCGGGCGGGCGGGCAAGCCATGATTACCTGATCTTGCTGCGTCGCTTCCTCTCCGCCACGCTCCGAGGCCGGGTGGACTGCTGTGCTCCGCTCCGCAACGACTGCAGCAACAGCGCTCTCCGCCGCTCCCTCTCCCTCTGCTCCCTACCCGCCTCCCCCTCTTCCCCCTCCTCCTCCTCCTCCCCGTGAACCCCCTCCTGGCTGTTCCGTTCTGTGTGTGCCCTCCGCTCCTCTCCCTGCTGTTGTTGCTGGTGCCTGCCAGCATCTTCTTTTGATGCTCCTTCTTCACTCCCCTTCTGTGCCTGGTGAACAGATTCAACCATGAGAGAGAGCATGAGGACAGATTAACATCTGACTGGTGGGACTCTCCGCGCACTCTTAGATTAGCAAGCATGTCACTCCCATGCTAGAATCGTTTGAGGATGACTGTGGGGGGACAGGGGATCAGGTGGCAGAGGGATGTGGGGAGGGAACGAGGAGGTGGTGGAGGGCGAAGAGAGAAGAAGGGGACTTCTGAGTCGACTCAAAAGTCACCTGGAGGCAGAGGGATGTAGGGAGGGAACGAGGAGGTGGTGGAGGTTTTGGGGTGAAGACGGGGAGACAGGCTTACAGGCTTTGCTTACCAGCGATCGTGACGTTACTGGGCTGCTGCTAGGCGTGCTATGGCTTCCCTCTGCTGCTCCGCCTCCCCCTGCTACCCTCACCACCGGTGACTTGTGCACTCCAGCAGCAGCACCACCAACAGGAGCACAGGCAACAGCACAGGCAACGGCACCAGGAGTAGCAGCAGCAGCAGCAGAAGCAGCAGCAGCAGCAGAAGCAGTAAGAGCAGCACCACCTCTACCATGGGCGATGGTGGTGGTAACAGCAGGAGCAGCACGGTCGGGGCTGCGGGTGTCAGCTGCTCTCTGCTGGGGTGGTGCTAAGCTTTCCCTCGCTTGCGGGTTCGGGACTGGCCATTGCCGATCCTGCCACTGCGGCTGTTGTTGCTGCATATGGTTCTGGTGGTACGACGGGTTGAATCCTCCAGCAGCAGAAACACCACCACCAACACCACCAACTCCATTTCCATCATTACCATCATTACAACCATTACCACCATAACCACCAGCGTAGGTGCCATTTCCTTCGTTGGAACCGCCACCACTCCCGCATGCAGCAGCAGCAGCCGCAGCCGCAGCCGCAGCCGCAGCCTTAGGAGATTCCGCCTGAAAGCCGAGTGCTGCACCATTCGCTGCCACACCAGCAGCAGTACGCACAGCACCAGCGGCAGAGAACCCGAACGGAGGATACGAGTGAATAGCAGGCGTTGATACAGCCGCACCCTCCCCCACCGCCATGTGCACGCGCGTGTGTGCAGCATCTGTGGCATCGGAAAAGACAGCAGCACGAGTGGCAGCCGTAGCAGGAGAAACAGTAGCAGGTGTGGCAGGCTCAAGAGGTGCAGTGTCTGGCGTGTTGGTAAGAGGCGCGGCGGCGGCGGCGGCGGCGGCGGCAGTGAATCGGTTGGCGTGTTGGTAAGGAGCTGCTGGTAAAGGATCAGTGATTGAAGTGACTTTGCTTCTGCTGTTTGCAAGGAGCGCAAGCGAGGGCAAACGACTGGATCCAGCAGCACCAGCCCATGCTGCTGGTGCTGGCGCTGGTGCTGGTGCTGGCGCTGGCGCTGGTGCTGCCGGTGCTGCTGGTGCTGCTGCTGCAGTAGCGGTGGTGGTAGGGGTGGCAGTGCAAGCACCAGGCGTTCCAGCAACCGGAGCAGCAGACTCCAATCCCTGGCCGGTAACACAACCCTCTCCAGACTGCTTAGCGTGCGTTACAGTGGCATTCATAGTGCTCTCCGTAGCACTTGTACCAGTGAGACCACACCCTGTAGCACTCGTTGAACCCATAGGGCGAGAAGGAAAGGCGAGGGCGTGAGGGTTACTGTCCAATCTGTTTCTACTTGGAAGGTGGTTCCCTGCGGGGACAGATTGGAACGTGGTTGATCCGGGAATGGAAACTGGGCCAGGGGGGAGCGTGGGAAGCGACTTTTGAGTCGACTCAAAAGTCACCGTAGGGACAGATTGGAAGGTGGTGGATCCGGGAATGGAAGCAGGGCCAGAGGGGAGCGTGGGAAGGGAGGGAAGGACAAGCTGTGAAGTGTTTATCGGCGTGCGATAGTGGTAAGGCTGCTGGTTGTTCGGGTTGTGGTGACTTTGCTGCTGCCGCTGCGGCTGCCATTGTTCCCATTGTTGTTGTTGCTGCGGCTGACATTGTTCCCATTGCTGCTGCTGCTGCTGCTGCTGCCGCCACTGCGGCTGCAGCTGCAGCTGCTCCTGCAGGATGTGGTGCTGCACGGATCCCACGCGGTTCTCTGAGCCTGCGCTCGGCAGGTGAAACAGGTGAGGAGAGTGGGAGGAGCGAGACGGAGCTCTTGACATGCTCGGCGGAGATCCCAGGGAGATTCGAACATCCGGCTCGTCGTGGCTTTCCACCCCCGCCATCTCCTGCCCTCTACCCGTCGCCGCCGCAGCAAATGCTGCCCCTCCTGTTGCGTGAACCCGGTTCATTGTTGCTGCATTTCCCCGTGCTGCTACCCCGTCCCACCTTGCCGCACCATGAGTACCAGCAGCAGCAGCAGCAGCAGCAGCAGCTGCAGCCTCCTCCCTCTCCTCCATAACCCAGTCGCACCCCAGCCCTCGTTTATACCCTCTCCCTCTCCCTCTCCCTCTGCCCACGCCTCGTGCTCCTCGACCTCCCCCTCCGCCTCCCCCCGCTCCACATGCGCCCGCGCCTGCGCCCCCTCCAACATAGCCCCCCTTAAGCCCCTCCTCCTCCCCACCGCCTGGAGAACACCCCGCAGCCGCAGCCGCCGCCTCTGTTCCCCCATGCCGTGCATACTCCCCACTCCTCCAATCCCCACTTCTGCCGCTTTCACTGCCCGGCCCATTACAGAAGGCAGCACCGGCAGCAGCAGCAGCAGCAGCAGGAGCAGCGGCAGCAGCAGCAGCAGCAGCGGTGACGAGGAGGAGGAGGAGGAACAGCAACAGCAACAGCAGAAGCAGCAGCAGCAGCAGCGGCAGCGGCAGCAGCAGGGATGATAGGCGTAATCCATCCGCGGATCCGTGCACGGCCTTGGTGAATCGCCTCCTGTCCACTACTACTACGATTAGTAGCACTCCCACTCGTACCAGCAGCAGCACACTCGTGCTGAGCCACGGGCAGAGTCAAGGACAGAGCAGCCTGGTGGCTTGCATGGTTCCAACTTCCGCCGCCGCCGCCGCTGCCGTCCCCACTTCCTCGCCCTCCTCCTCCTCCTCTCCCTATTCCCTGGAGCCCATATGATTCCAATTCTCTTCGGGAGGGTTGTAGCTGGAGGTTGTCGGTAGAGGAGTAGGGTGCAGCCCCCATTGCACTGCTAGCCAGAATGGTGTTTGTATTAGTCAAGTCCCCAGCAGCAGCCCTAATGGCAGGAGCGGGTGCAGCAGCAGCAGCAGCAACAGCAGCAGCAACAGACGAAGTCGTGCTTGTAGCAGTGCTGCTAGGAGTGGTAGTAGCGATTATGTGAGTCGTCTTGCACCGTGTTGCTTGCTCTGGAAGGTGCAGGTTTCCCCAGGTCACCAGACAGGAGGTCTCTCCTCCCTGCGGCCCTCTCTGCTCTCCTCCTCTCCCCTCTGCCTCGAAAAATGTTTCAGGCGCAGCAGCAGCAGCAGCAGCAGCAGCAGCAGCCTCAGCCTGTCTGGTCCACTCCATCTTGATGCGCGGCTCTCCTCTCTCTCCTCGCTCCCTCGTCCCCTCTACTTCCTCTGGCGGCAGTACTAACCCTACACCAACAGCACCCGGCTGCGGCAGCGCTGTGCCGCCTTCCGCTGTGTCTGTAAAGAGCTGGTACCTGGAAATATTGGGGCTCGCTTCTCTCTCCCTCTTCAAAGTACTAGTACCGTCGCCACCGCCGCCGCCGCGGCCGCCGCGGCCGCTGCTCAGTGGCAGAGCTGCCGCCTCTGCCGTCGCAATTTTCGGCGGTGGCGTGTGGCTGATGCCGCCGGTGCAAATACTATTATTAGTAGTGTAAGTTGCAGTAGTATTAGCAGTACACGGGAAGTTGCTGCTGGTCGAAGTGCTCAGGCTAGTGCTCAAGCTCGCAGTGCTCAAAGACGGAGGGGCCCTCGGAGCGTTCCGCACCCGGCGCTGGGCCGGCGGGAGCACTGATCCTCCGGCGGCTTCAACTTGAAGTTCAGATTGGCCGCCGCCGCTGCGACTGCCACCAGCGGGAATCCAAGCAGGACGCCGCGGCGCCGCTTTACGTTCCGCGGCGCCGTAGTACGGCGATCCGCCGGCTTGTGTTGCGTCGACCACACGTTCGGCAGCGATGGTGCTACTAGTAGTAGTGTTATTATTGAATGATCCTCCTCCGAGGAGTCCGAGGAGTCCAGGGGAGGGATTTGCGGACAGGAAAGGCGGCTCGGGAATGTGCGCTGGCAGAAAGGCCGCCGCGGCCTCTTGACTGTGATCTTGAAGGTGGTAGGAGTTGTCGTGGTGACCACACCTCATCATGTAGTTAGTAGTGACTGCTGCTAGTAGTAGTACGGTCGTGATTCAACAGACCATTGTCACAATGCACTGCAATAAAGCTGTCGTAGCGCCGCTGCGGGCCGAGACGAAAAACACTATCAGCTTCATCATCAATCGGATGACAATTGTCAGGAGAGACGTCGGCTCTCAGAGGACGTCGTAACGTTTGAAAGTGGAAAGGGAGCGAGGAGGGATCGTGAGACCGTGACGCGGGGTACAGTGTGCCACTCAAGTTCAACTTGGTGGAA